GATTAAGCAAATCTGGTAATCTTTCTGGATATCTTGAGTCATTTACATGTACCCAACTGCAACGCCTAGTTGCAACCATTTTAGAAAGTTAGCGCATTTTTTGAGCGAAAATAGTCTTGCTTCTGACATGTTTTGCGTACAAGTCCTCGTAAAGACTCTGAGTGTTTGTCCTAAACCAGCGGGGGATCCAAAGATGACATATCTATTTTTAGACCTGGTGCGCAGCGCTATTGTGCGATTGGATATAATTCAAGGTTGATTGTGCAAAATCACACCATCACATTCTATCAGAAGCCCTGTTGTAACTACATATTGTCAATACTTCTTGACTCACCTCCATCGCTGTAACCTTCCTCTGTAATAATTTCAAGGAGTCTGTCAAATGCATTCTCAAAGGCAACAATTTTCTGATTGAAAGAAGCAAAGAAGGGGAAAAAAATTAAAAGATCATATTAGTGTTTGTTCATTGTACTTCATTTATGCATTGTGCACATGCAGAGATTGCAATGTTCAATTCATAGAACTGATAAAATCTGGCTCCAACCTGGATTGCAGCGTTAGATTTGGTGAGCTGTATTAGCAACAAGAGACCCTGAAAAAAAGCAATGAACAATTCATTAGATGACAAAACAACTAAATGTACATCATAAATTTCTTTTTTAAGGGCATCTTGAACTGGTTATTGGACACTTGACTATCATGAGTATAACAGGAATATTGCATTGTATAAATTACACTAAGAAATAGCTTTTCATAAAATTTTAAAACGTGTTCCCAACATGATCCATACCTCATTCCTTATGATTTCACGACTGTCTGACAGTAAGTCCATTAGTCTGGACACACCTGCAGAATGAAAAAAAGAGTTAAAAATAAAAACAAATTTCCTCTCCATAGAAGACTTGATCAACAATTTCAAACAACTGAAAACAATTTACCACTACAGTGTATCTCCTCGAATAAGCACTGGATGCTTTTTTCAAATTTCAGGCTAAAGGAGGGGTACTTATTGGAACGAAGGGGCATAAATGAGGGGGTCACTTGTAAAGTTGACGCAGCTATAGGACAAATATTAAAGCACAAATAATGTACATAAAAGAACTCTGCAACCATGTGGAGATAGAAATAGCTTGAACGGAAGAGGTACAACTCTCCTGTACTGATTCCACTGTACTAGAAGCTTAAAGAGTTGTAAAGAAGGTCGCAATAGGGACAGGTTTTCATTCCTATGATATGTGTATAAGATAGTGAGGAAGGAGTGGAGGAGAGGGTAGCACTCTTTGAAGGGGGCACTTGTTTGACATTATGGCCTATGGAGTGGACTCTCATTCAGGGGAGGGTACTTCTTTGAATATGGGCACCTCTTAGAGGAAATACCATCTTAAAATTATCTTAAAAGAAAGTGCAAGAAAGTGTGAGTCTCAAAGAGTCTCAACTTCAAGTACAAGAAAACATGAGTGAACAGGATGTGATTGCATCTGACGGGCCAGCATAAAACAACAAAACAAAATAAAACCAAAGGAATCCAGCAATAGATTTAAGCTGCAATCATTCCTGTACAATGTACAGAACCACTCATAACACCACTTGGTGGCAGGTAGACCTAATATGGACTTGTGGTTGGGTCAGGTCTTGCTAGAACCTAATTCAGCCACTGCTGACAGCACTTGTATGAGGATGGTTTGCTCCATTGTCCAGTTGATTCTTCAATAATACATGTAGAACTAAAAGGCTGTGTTGTTCTTGGTGAAAAAGGACTGATAGTGATGGGGCATACCAGGGCTCAACACTAACAGTAGCCAACTAGCCACAGACTAGTAAAAATTCAGTTTTGGCCAGTGGTTTTTTATTTCCACCAGCCAGTTTGACTAGTACAACAAATTGAAATTGTCCTAACGTCTGAGTTGTCACCAGCCACTTGGCTAGTAAGTTGGAAAGTTAGTGTTGAGCCCTGATATATGAGTGTTGCTGTTCAACTTACCCATGGGGCTTACTAGAATGCACTGCTGGAGCTGATAACTGAAAATTAAATAAAAATCAATCAAAATAAATTAATGATCTACATGTACTAACGTCACCATTCAAAAGTAAGTTAGCAGTCTCCACTCAAAATGCAATTCTTGATCCTTGAAACTTTGGAAATTTAAAGAGGACAAGAATTGAGGACTGAGATGCTTGAAGAACTTTTCCAGGATTTCAACTCCCGGATTCGAGATGCTTGAAACAAGTTTTGAGCATTTTGAAAATCGATTAAACATCTCAAAAGTGGACTCGAGCCTCAATTCTCACAGGACTGAAACTGAGGGGACTGTTAGCTTACATGCACATTATCTCAGCAGTACTGTAGGCTACATGTACAATGATTTCTAAAATAATAATAATTCATTAATCTGTCACTAATCTGTAAAAACATATTAATTAACATAAATGTGTAGTGGTCTATGCACTGTTTACCTTTTGTTCGTCAGTAACACTGTAAGAAGTTTAACGGTGGGCCATCTAACTTGAAATTCATACTCCTGAAAATTTTAATACAGCTTGTTAGGTCATGTTAACTATATCCATAAAGATGTAAAATGCAATCTCATCAAATAGGGTCAAGAGAGAGCACAAAAGATGAGAACATGATAAACCATTAATAGTATCCTCATTTGACTAATTCACAGAGAGGAAATAACGTAAAAACCCACAGATAAGCCTCACCCTGAATTTGGCAGCTCAAATTTTGGAAAAAAGGTTTTTTGAAAGAAATCAAAAGAAATCCAAAGTCGAGTCTTGAGAAGTCTTCTTTATCCACATTTCATCGAATGTAAACTCACTATTAACATTGCAATAGTAAATACTTCAAAGTCTTACCCCCCAATTTTAGCACTTTAATATATTAATGAACATAGTTTCTACCAACTTTGACCTATGATTGATCTTTTTCTGGTATTTGTTTACAGGAATTTCTTCATTCAACAGTTTTTCCATAGATTTTTGCAATTTACAACAGGAACGTGGGAAGAACATTTGAGCTTAGCAACCAGGCATTAGATCAGACATGAATATGGAATACCCGACACCTTTTTCAAATGATCCCGCAGATAAGCTGCATCCCCAATTTCTAGCAACAATTTTTGGAAAGAAGGTGTGGCTTATCAGTGGGTTTTTATGGTAACTGAACAAATGGCTTGACAACTTCAAAATTATCTTTAGCATAACAATTTTACCAGTTTCTCAGTATTAACAGCATTAACATGGCTTTTTGTACAATCTGTTTACATCACTTGCACAATTCATAATTATACCAATTGATAGGGAGTGATCAATGCTCCAACAAGAGATGGGAAACCCCAAAAAAATTTTTTAATACAATAACAAACTGCTCAATATAAATCTACATGGCAAATTGCTTGTATCATACCTATAGTTATGACATAATTATTTAAGAAAAGAGAAAAAATTTGGCAAAAAAAATTATGTATTGCAAATCTAGCAATCTTTTCAAGTTCTATATACAGTACCTCTAACAGCCCAAGTAACAAAGTGACATTATCACTTTTCTTGATGAAAATTTCTGTAAACTGAACTCCTAATTCCACATCAGAAGCAGTTTGACCGGCATCCTGACCACCTTCATCTGGAAAAGAATATAAGTAGGAGCTCAATTTTCTTTGACAATAAATTGGCATTTTTCAATTTATAAAATCAATAATTATCTATAACAATAGACCACTTTCATAAATGACTGCAAGATTAATATTCTTTTGTTTAAATTTAAATTAGCCTTTCTGGCCTCGTTCTCCAGTACAAAATTCAAAAGAATGCATTATCTCAAGCGAGGCCAGAAAGGCTAATTTAAATTTAAACAAAAGAATATTAATCTGGCAGCCATTTATAGAAGAGGTCAATTGCTTTCATGTATCAAAAAAGAAAAGAGCAAGTGAAAGATACCCCCCTAGTATTGTAAGAAAAACATACTTATTACCAGTACAAGCAGTTATTAATAGTATTTATGGTGTGAACAATGTGTACAAATTATGTTTTATCAATTTTAACAAGCTGATGAGAAGGACTGACTCCAACAACACAAATCATGAAATGTTACTCGTGTATCAATGGTACACATATGTTATTCATAAATTTAGAGTTGCAATTTACTTAATAAAACTCTTAAAAGTATTATTGCACTTTGGATGTGGATCACAACATTTTGACTATAAGCTGCTAGTTTTCCAGTTTAAAATGAATGAAGTCTTAACTAAAATTGGTTGAATTTCTCTTTCCCTTGTTCCAGACAGAATAAATTTGTTATGATTCTTACAGAAAAAAAAAAAAAATAATTACCTAATTCAAATTCTAACCTACAAAAATCATTACCCTATCCCCATAAAATCTGCACAATATTTTTTTTCTCACCTTGAGCTGGATCAGCTGAAAGCAGGTTGCACAAAGTTTGTAAAGCTAAACCTGTGATCTCAGTGTCATTCCTAAAATTTTAAGGTCAGTTATACCATAAGTCAAAATTGAAATTGTCAAAAAGAAGTAAAGTATTAAGTAAAGAACAAGAGAGTAAAAAGTAAATTGAGCAAAAAAACAAAACAACACAAGAACACATAATATTTTGTTACAGTTCAAATTTGTTGCAATTATGTCAATGCAAGTATCTAGTAATTCAACCAAAACATCCACTGATGAAACTGTTCAAATGCGCTCCATAGTACTTTGTCAAGAATATAAATTGTTTTTAGTTTGGTTGTTCAGTAATTATAGGAAAATTCATTACTTGACAAGGGAATTCCACATCAAATCGCACACAACCCTATACTGCGTAAAATGGGGAAGCTAAGAGTGCAATATCCGTTTCAAGTGCAGTTTGATGCAGAATTAACAAGTCAAGTAACAGATTTTCCTTGAATCCTATAATCGAATAAAAACAAGGAAAAAGAGAAAACAGCATAATGATTACTTAGAGTTGTTATTTAGTATAATTTCAGAGCTGAACAAAGAGTTTCCAGCAATCTGATTGGTTGAGCGGTTCCTTATATGACGTTATATAAACCACTCCGCACGGTTTACATAAAAATGTTAGACTAAAATGTTAATAAATGTTACTAAAATGTTATGATTTTAAAAATTTCTCTGTTGTTCAGCTTTGAAATTATACTAAAACAATTATTTGCCTCAGGTTTGGTGAATATTGTCGATTATTCGACGATAGTCTCCTCGCCTTCGGCGAATAATTGTTAAGTATAATTACGTAGATGCAAAACAATATCACTTAGCCTTGTTTTCAACTCGCAATTCCATGCTAAATACCTCGCTCCATTAACCAATCAGAATGTGAGATTTTATTCTGTCAACGATGCGATTCTATTCAAAATATCTCTCCTTGATATGCAAACGTGATTCTGAGTACATGAACTCCATTCATCATTTAAGTGGTTATTATTGGTCAGATTAAAAGGGAAAAACAGCTCCACTGTTAGCCCTTCATCTCCTTTGAGTGATCAAGCCAGAATTTCTCCTTACAATATATCAATACAATATCAAGCAAACAAGTGAAAAGAATAGAGAAAAATATAAATTTGGGGATTTTTAGTTGATCTAGTACCAAATTCTAGCACCAAATCTATGATCTAGTACCAAATTCTCCAACATGATCTAGTACCAAATTCTCCAACATGATCTAGTACCAAATTCTCCAACAAATTCTCTAACATCAAAAGAATTGTATCGCAGACAGTAAAGAGAATTTTTAATAAGATCAAGTGAGTTACTGTATTGATGCCACTGTCCCTGTCCTGTGAATCTCCAAAATGGATTTCCAGTTACTGTATTTTCTTGGTCTTCTTTCTTTTCAATTTTTCTTTATTCCTCTTTTTTTGTTTAATCCTATCTTATTTCAATTTAAGGCTACTCAAATTATATGTCTGGTGACCATCATTTCAGCTCAGCAAATGGGGAATTTGAAAACATATCAGCATGGCTCACCTGTCTGTTTGTAAAACATTTATCAAGAGATCCATTGACTGTGTTCCAACTTCAAGGCGAAATTTCTGGTAAAAAAACACAACTTCATCCTTAATAATCCTGACAAATTCTCTAAGGTGACCGTGATTGTAGTTGAACCTCAATTAACCGGACCTCGATTATCTGGATTTCTCGATTATCCGGACTTATTCCTTGGTCCCAATTTTTTCATGAACATTTATTAGTCATGATCAAGATCCATAGCCATAATCTTTCTAAAACTACAACATTGAAAAGTGAAGTAAAGGTGATATTCTTCTTTGAGAAAAATTACTGATTTACTTCAACATTTTAGGCCAATGTAAAACATTTTTTCATCGATTTTGATTATTAATACACCTGTAGAGGCATTCATGTAGGAAAGTAGATGTAGACCATAATCTTTTTCAAAATGATGTGTAAATGTTTTGTTTTGGGATTAAATACCACTTTCTAATTTAATCAGTTTTTTGTTCTCATTAATAGTCCTATTCTTGATTATCCGGACTATTTCATCCAGTCCCAATGAGTTTGGATAATCAGGGTTCAACTGTATGTGTATCCTAATCATGAAATTATTATTACCATAACTCAAAAGCAGTCATCTTGAAATAGACTGGAAAGAGCATTCAACTCATAAATCAGAGCAAAAACTATAGTTTCAGTACTGCTCAAAAGTAAGATGACAGTCCCTAAAAAACCTTGATCTGTGATCCTCGATACTCAATAATGTTGAGGATCCTGGCTCCAGTTGAGATTTGAGAAGTTGGAGTCAAGGATCAAGACCCTGGCAACTACAATGTACTTGTCAGCCCTAATCTAGTTACAATACTTGGAGTTTGAAGGCAGTATTTGACATTGTTTGTACTTCGTCGACTTCCCAACAAACAATTGGAATGTTCATTTTTTTCCTAAGGTGTTTGTAAACATCAGAAGACGATTAAAATTAACATTCTAGTAGTTTGACAACTCTATTGATAAACAACTCAAATTTGTTGGGCAACTTGATCGATATATACATAGCTTAAAAATTATGTTCTGATGACGAGTTCACATTCATTATGCAAACTTGTATTTCAGCCAGTTCTGTTCCAGAAGTTGATTAAGCAGTAAATAAGAGAAATTCTTCACAACGACAATTTCCCTTTCATACCCTGGACAGTAAATTTAAAAAAATCTTTCCCAGCTGAAATTCACGACATAGAACATTAGTATAAGATTCTTATTAAGAAAACTTCTCCTTAATTGCATTGCTACGGTAATAATTGAAGTTTTCTAAAAAAATCCTCTGGTAAGGCGTCTTAAGTTTGATTAAAACTAACCTTAGAGAGCGACTTGAGCGCCCGCACAGCATCCCGTCTGTCTTCCAGCAACGTAGAAGAGGCCACCCGGTCACATAATCTTTCAACCTGGATCAATATTGAGGGCGAAAATAAACATCAGAAACTGTAACGCGCTGAAGACTATATGCATTCGCACAAATACGCACCGTTTCGTGAGGGGAAGGTTGAGAACCACCTTGCTGATTGCCCAAAACTGACTTAAATCCGCGAGATAAGTACTCCATCTTTGTTTCTTTGCGTAAATTTATTCGTACACATGCGCGCGACGTGGCATGACTTGCTTCGTAACCGAGCAAGAACTGCAACAGCGCCGTTCAAATGCCCAGCGGTATGCTTCTAAAGAACAACTGCCTGCTGTTTTCTCGTGGCAAAACACGATTTGTCGCTTCGCTAATTTCACATTTCAAGCTACTCATTTATTTATGCTTTGATAAATTTAGAGACATTTGATTACCGTTCACTTCTGCACAAGGCGTGTTGCTCCCTTTGGTAAAGATAACTCGTGAATGAGATGACTTTACAAGGTGTTGTGGTGTTTTCCATCTTGGCTCTTCTGAGCGTGAAAGCGCTCGGTCAGGATGGAGAACCAATGCGCTTTGAGACGCCTAAAATGAATGAAGAAGAACAACATTCACCGCACACCCCAAAGTCGTTTGAGATGACGTGTGACGCTTGCACTGCGATTGCTTATCAGGTAATTGTAAGAGTCATAGCTGTCCTCTTGAAAATGTACCTGCTCGTCTGTGAAATATTAGTTGGCCACTTTTCTTAGGAGTTTTTTCGCCCTTGTCAGCGTTAATTGGCGATCCGCGAAGGTAATGAAGGACGGCTGAACTAATATAATACCCGCTAATGTAATTTGTAGGTGGTGAGTAGTTACTTAACAAAACTGTTAGTCTCTATTCTTTGGGTCACCGCACTTTATCAACTCAGTACTTTACATGTAAGTTGATATGTGCACTTATTAATTTTTTACTCAGGTTAACTTTTTTTCAGTATCTACAACGCTTTCTTTTTTGTCAGTTTTAAATTTTTTATGAATTCATTTTTTCTTTAGAGTTGAAGCTTAATAGTTTTGAATGATGAAACAGGCCAATAAGCTACAGAGCTAAAATATAGTTTAATAAGTTCAATTAGACAGAGAGTCAATCCACGTGTCCATGTTTATGGCGTTTCTTCCAATTTTTTCCATAGATGAGTAAAGCTTTACGTAAAGCAGAAGATAAGAAACCATCCTTGAAAGGAAAACCACTTCCAGAGTCGGATTACCTTGATGTGTTTGAGGCAGTTTGCGACAATTCTTGGGATGAGTAAGTTATTTGATGGATGAAACTAATTAGGTAGAAAGTGTACCTGTTAACCCTTTAATCCCCAGAAATGATTATAATGTAAATTCTCCTTGTCATATCCACACACTATTCAACAAACAGGTAATGAGAATACTCAAACTTACCAGGTAGAAGTCTTATCTCGATCTACCTTCAAATTCTCACAACTAGTTTATAAGGAAATGTGTAGCAGCTAGAGGGAGAATTAACAATCAGATCATGGGAGTTCAAGGGTTAATTACAGCTCTGAGGATGAGATGTTGCTTATGTTACATGGACTTTATTTTGCTTAAAGTGTGGTCTGATATTGCCGGTAAAAACCCTTTTTCTGCTAGAGCTTATCTCCTTGGGGTGAGTTGAGGAGAGGTGATGTTACAGTACTCCTTCCCAAATGGAGTGCTTGTCCATTGTACATGTCAACCTCCAGAATTTTCCAAGGCTCCCTTACACTCAACCAGAACACGTTATAACTATTGGGTAGAGAGAGGGATTGTAAGAGTGAATTTATTTGTGAGAATAAAATTACGTGGCAGGGGTTCTGATCCAGGCCTTTTTATCTGGAGTCAAGCAGTACTAACAACCAGCCCAACATCTCACCCAAACTTGCATAGTTTCCAGAATTAGCCATACCCACTCACCCTGAGGATGGACTTTAACATTGCAGGGAGGAGAGAGATTGTTATAGAATTAGACCTACCCACTCACCCTGAGGATGGACTTTAACATTGCAGGGAGGAGAGAGATTGTTATAGAATTAG